AAGCTAAGAGTGAAAGTATGAAGTGTTTCTCACCTACATTGCCTAAAAGCAAACCAAACCATACCTTGTGATCATGGTACTTTTCCCCCACTGCAGATCCCACTCTTTTGCTCAATTGCATTTCATGTAATGCAAGAACGCAATCCTTCAATTTGGATGCCCTATACCCTGTATATTGTTGAAGTGCAAAACTCTACAAACACAAAATAAATGAACAGTAGATATATAGCTTAACTGAAATACATAACCCCATTAATGGAAACTTGAGGAAGGCTTACCCAAGGATGAAGAGTTGGATGGATTGTAAGTCTTGCTAGAAAAACAGCAGATGCAGCAATCAGTGATGGCACATACTGGAGACACCGATAATCTAATAGGCTTAGCTCCGCAAGAAAACAACACAAGAATTCAAATTCCAGTGTCGAAAACTGGAGAAGGGTTCAGCAAGTTATTATAATTTCAGGGAAAAAATATAATAGCAAAGCGCCATAGAAAGAAGGACAAATGTACTCCATATACAATAATACAAGTTATGTTTGCTTACCTTAGTGTTATCTTGAGCAGGTTTGGTAAAGATCCTGTCCAAAAAAGTTCCCATTAGCAAAGCAACACAAGGTGATACAAGAATAATAAGAACATAAAAGCAGAAAATTGTGGGTATGATATTTAATTTTCTAATTATAACTCCCTCCCGTCCACAATAAGTGACGATGAAAGGAGTGAGTCATTTAATGGATAAAAACTAAAATAATACCCCTGTAGTAACATCTGTGTATTATTAAAGATCAATAAAGAAGGGGAAAAAGCGTTAAATACTTAAAACAATCTTGGTTTTATAAAAAGAGACTTAAAGAATAAAGGTATTACTATCTCCGTCTGAGCTTAAGCTTTTCTTTGAAAAATGACAAGGCATTTAGACAATAATTACGTAAGCTTCTTGATTATATTTTGAGAAATCATTTTGATGGATGTATAACATAATGAGGTAATTGATAATAACTGTGATATTACAGTGCATTGTTTTTAATATTTGATGATTAAATTTTCATTTAAAATTGCTAGTTAATTCCTAAAATAGAAATGAGAAGCTTTAGGTGGGAAATTCAAAAGACACGAGTAAGAAGAGCAACGTGAATAAAAATGCATTTGGGCTTAAAAAACTATACTTTTTGACTTGGATTGCAAAACACAAGCAATTGGTGATTAAAACAATATCAACCTGAGAAAAGTTTTCGCTGTGGGGTTGCCAGTTTCAAAGCCTAAGAACTTAAGCAGGTCTCTCTCCATGAGAACAACCTAACATGATTCATGAAAGACAGGTAGATTTACACATTTCAATCCATAGCATTATTGGAAATCCAAACAAAACCAAAATCAGAGACATACAAACTTACCTCATCTTTAGTGAATGTATTGTCTGTGATATACACAAAGTCTTCAGCATGTGGTGGCTGAATCTCTTCATATTTTCTGCAAAGTTAAATATGTTTAGTTGGTAGTTGGTACACTAGTATGAAGGATATGAAGCCCACCAATTATAATTAATAAATGAGAGCCTCAGCTCTCAATAGCTTACGAGGCCACAAGCATACAAGAAACACCCAGAAGCTGAAGCTTTGTTCTGGTCAGAGTACGGAAAGAAAGGAATCTGTCAATGTACGAGACTGTGAGATGAAGCGTATCTGACATTAGTCTGTATTCATCAGCGACTTCCACCAACCAATCAACTAAAACAAATCGCATGCTAGGAGATATATCATTTTGAACCTTCTCCATGTAATTTGCCAGAGGCCGTCTCTTCTCCTCAACCTACACCAGAATTAGAGTTTCGTAACCCTAATACCGTATTTTGCAGAAAGAAAGAAAAACTAACAAATGAATGAAAAATTGCAGCAATATATACTGAGCGAGTAGCGCTGGTACCAACCTCCATGGAATGAAGATGGAGATAGATGAGAGGTGCGTAGGAAGACTTTTGAGTGCTATCAGGAGTGCAATTTTCATCGTCATTAGATCCCGCATCTGGTGCTTCCTGGCTGCTGACCTTCTTCAATTCGGGTCCGGATCCGGGCTCCTGGTTTTTTCGGAGATCCGTGTTCTGAGCGGAGCACTTGTTGGTGATGTCGCCCAATACCACACGCTTCTTTGTGGCCGGAAGCCCTAGAACTTGGAGGGACTCATTTCCTGTGGACCCCAATGCGGTACTCCTCTTCGATCTCCTCCCAGCGACCACCCCATTATCAGCTCCATTATCACCTCCACTCATCATAAATGAACTAGGGTTTTACAGCAATGCGGGATTGGGATACATGTAACAATGGAGTTCAAAGTAATTCAGATTTCAGATGGTTGAGCTCAAGCCTTTTTTCTATGACAGAGAGAGGGCTGACCGGCTGATAGAGATAGAGAATTTGAAAAGGGAAGGTATGAGAAATGGCGGGAATATTAGCCGCCTTTTTTGGTTTATATGCGTTCAATTCAAAAACAATGTTGGAGCCCACATTGTTGTTTTACAAATTATCAGTCCTTGTGGCAGATTCGTTCGAGCCTTTTGGACCTAAAGATGTTTGTTAGAGTTTTATTTTAGACAGAAAAATTCTATTTGTATTATTGTACCGACTATATGGAATTTATTTATATGCACTTAGCACACACTTGTAAATAGGAGCGGGCCTTAGTAGAGATCACGGAGGTTACAGCCCTCCAAAATTTTTTCCCCAATATATATATCATAAAAATAAAATCGGTCCCCCCTGAAAAAATATTTTGCCCCCACCACCCCCCCCCCCCCAAAAAAAAATATAAGAAAATATAAAATTTGCTTTCTCAAATTTTAGTTAAATATTTTTTAAGGGTAAATAATGATTGTTTATACTTTTTAACAAAAGTCGGAAATTTTGAAGGAAGTCCAATTCTTAAAAATAGGAATCCAAAGTGACATGACATAATACTCTATATTCTTTATGAAATTAAAATGAGATAATTCTCATAATTAAGCTTTTGAGTAAAAAGCGTTGATTGAGGAATTTATCTATTTTGAGGAATGACGAACACAATTTTAAGGCATTAACTTTAATCTTTTGCAATAATATACTTGCTCTTCTTCTTATTTTTTTTGTCTGTTATGTACCATTTCAATGCTTGACTTTAACTACGGCGAGAGCGTATCCATTATGGGGGCAATGAGGACAGTTGCTCTCCCCTCAACCCCAACCCTGCCCTTATATATATAACCTAAAATTTATAGGAAATTGCTCAAAACGGAAGTTAAACATATGAAAAATTCTAAAAAAGGATTAAGAGGGTTTTCTTCCCTGAACATAAGATTTATGTCAAAATAGAATTAAAGGATAAAAACATCATTGAATTTAGCTTCTATTTATGTAATTTTCTCAAATTTTATTTACAATTTCATCTTTGCACGCACATAATATAAATTGATCTTCTTTTTATACATAATTGTACATTTATAACTTAAACTAAGTCTAATCAAACAATATTAATAGTGTATTTTCTATTTGTGAAATATGTAAGTAAGTTATAATGTAAATTAGTCAGCACTCAGAAAAATTTCTAGGTACGTCATTGAGCCCACGCCCGCCACCCAAGGTAAGTTTCCTGGGTCTAACCCTACTTGTACTTAATTATATGTGCACAAAGACAATGTATACACCTCTAGTTGAATGTGTACACAGATAGTTCATGCAACAATTGTATGTGCATAGGCAATTGCGTGCAAATGTGTGTCAAGTGTCTACAAATTTTGTGTACACCAAGAAGTGTTGAAAATAGTAATCTTTATCTATTTTGTTCAATCTGGTTTGACCTCTTCTTGTAATTGTCTTGTTTAAATTTGATTTGATTTGTTTAAATTTAGAATGGAAATGAAACAAATCCAATTATAAATATTAGGGAGAAAAGGGGCAAATAAGGCCACGTACTAACAAAAAAAGGTCAAATAAGGCATTATTTATGAGACTCTGTCCGGCCTTCGCCATTTGGGTTGGTTCTCGATGGAATTTTTTGATGAAATTTTTTGAGCATCTTATTCAGTAAGTCTAGTTTACTCATACCAAATCTAAGCTAAAACTTCAATCTGGAAGCCATTCAAATGAATTCTTGAAGATAATTGCGCAGTTAAAAGCGCAGTTATCTTCAAGAATTCATTTGAATGCCTTCTCGATTAAATTTTTATCTGAAATGTGGTATGAGTAAACTAGACTTAATGAATAAGATGGTCAAAAAAATTAATCAAAAAATTCCACCGAGAACCACCCCAAATGACGAAGGCTGGACAGGGTCTCATAAATAAGGCCTTATTTGACCTTTTTTGGTTAGTACGTGACCTTATTTGCCCCTTGTCCCTAAAAATTATAAGTTGCAACTATTGGTAGTTATTTTTGCTACCTGGCTTGTCATTTGGAATATTTGAGAATTGGGATACTATTTGGGGCTATTAGATCATTCAAAAGCTTTTTCAGTTTGCTTTAGTCGCAAAAAAAAAAAGTAGTAGTATGTGCTATGGTTGTTTTTTGTAGTAATATGGATTTGGTCAAATCAATGGCATAACATTCTTGTAAAAACTTAACAAACGAAAGTAGGGCTGCTTCTTAAATGAAACTTCCATGTAAGGCTGGTATGAGTAAGGAGAGAACTGGAGCCTTAGCCAGGTAAATCAATTCCAAGTCTGGTCTAGTCTGAACTTAGACTGAATTATATTTCCAATGTTTCAGGATATTTTAACTTAGACCGAAATTTGCTGGTATGGTCTAGTCTGAACTAGGCTGTTTAATGTTTGGTCTCTGTGTCTTTTATAACTATGGAAATCTCGTTTAGTCTAGCCTGGTCTGAGAGTGAAAACAGTCCAAGTAAAAACATCATTAACTTCTGTATCTAGATTCTAGACTATTTAAAAAACTAGTCGTTCTGATCCTATTCTGGGGAAATTGATGTGGAAAACTATTACCAAAATACTCCAGAAAACACTCACAACCCCCCTCTTTAACAGCAGAAACAAAACCAATTTGCGGAAAACCAAATTGTTAATGGAACAATGACTTCAGGTCAACATAGTACATACAAATCATATTCAAAAAGAAAACAAAGGAAACAGAATATCAAGTTACACGTTACAACATCAAATAAAAAATGTTGGCCACCCAACAGCCCAAGTAATAGTCATGCTCTTACGAATGGCGATTAGACAAGGTTCCTTACCAGAGCCAATGGTACTTGCAGGCTTATAGCCAAAGTTCAGGATAACATTACCACCTTGCCTAGGGAAAGACGTTGAGCAAACCTGAAGCTTTAGTGGCGGCTGTCCTTGTAAATCAAAGGCAAGGTTGCCACTAATCTGATGCCTAATGAGAGAGTTAGGCTATCAACTTGCATCTGATGTTGCAGCACGTCTGCCTCGGAGACTTCTTCAACCGCTAACATCTCATCATCTTTTCCACTTTAACTGAGACAAGTTGGCAGTTGTTCCAGGTATTACCCACTCATTGCAAGAAGTGTCCTTTGACAATATACAGCTGGCATCTTTGCTTCTGGGAGGGGGGGTGTGAGAATACAACTTCAGTTATGTTTGATTCCTAGCTTGATTTGTTGATGAGTGGTGAAAGCTCCAGCGAGCATTTTCAAACCATTTATTAACTGTCACCATGCATAATCTAAAGGTAATACATATTTAATCGAACAAAAAAACGCCAAAATTTAAAGAATACAAAAAACTAGGGGCCAAGTCTTGCACCGGCACGGGTCACAACACACAAATAAGCCATTTTTATTTAATTCCAGATTTATTTAGGGAATGTTTAAATCCCATAAAATGCAGGGAGGGATAATGAAAAAATATATTTTCTTGTGTTTGGTTTTTCCTTTTAAAACCAAAAGGATAATGAAATATGATCAATGTTTTTAGTTTCAAGTATCTTTAGATTCCATGTCTTTATATTTAGGAACTTTTTAAAGCAAATGTGCACTCCCTCCTTTTGACAGAATGACGGAAAAACCTTGCTTTCTGTCCCATGTCTGGGTCAAATGAAACAACTTTTTAGAAAATGGTCATCAAGAAAAGGGTTCAGTATTTTAGTATACAGATGAAAAAACAAAATAACAAAAAGAGAAGACAAAAAGGAAAAGATACAACAAGGAAATAGAATGGTTAGAGATGGGGGAAACCTAACAGACTGTTCCAGTTACCCAAACCATTTAGGATTGTTTGTTGTTTTTTTGTTGTGAAAAGGGATTCTTTGTTATCAACCCAATTAATTATGAGAAAAATGACTCTATTACATAAAATTTATAATCGGCAAATATATTGGACGGATGCACTATTTCAAACTCCTGAATGGTCTTAAGGTTTACAGGAATGGAATAGATAAACGCACACAAAGTGTGTTTATAGTGGTATTCCATTAGCCAACAAAAATTTCTGTAAAACTGGTAGATAGAATGCATTCAGATCAATTTTATTTCCTTTCTTCCCAAACCTAGGAACCAGTCTAAACCACTAGCCTCTAGTGATGCCTTTTGTATTTTAATAGTTTGGGGAAGGGAGAAACAACACCTCTGGGGTCATCCACGACAAACACCTTTTTTGAGCCCGTTTTGAAGGAACTTGACAATTTTCAAAGTAAAAATCAAATTTTTGAAAAAGCTTTCAAATGAAAATAGCAGAAAAATATATTTAATACTCCCTCTTTCCTATTTTAGTTGTCTTACTTTCTTTTTTGGGTTGTCCCAAAATGAATGTGCAGTTACATTTCTTGGCAAGATATATGTGGTCCTTATCATTTCAAATCTCAACCACAACTTTTACTTTTCAACTACTTTATTAGTAATCATACCAAATTAAAATAGGACATCCATTCATCCAATATGGGACGAAGGGTAGTAGCATTTTCCCCTATTTTTTGTTTATATTTTCTTTATCTGGCATATTCCAAGTTCTAAATGGATCCTTTAATAGTACTCCGTATCTAGATCATTTTTTCATCATCATTTTCATTTACCCTAGTGTCGCAAAGGCTCCCACCTACGGTGGGGTAAGGGGGGTCGGATGTACGCAGTCTTACCTCTGTGCTAAAGATGATTCATAGTGAAAATCGCGTCCAAAATTGCATGGACTGACTGTTGCTCCATAACAAAGAAGCGCAGACAGTTTAGTGAGCCGTTTTGCTTTATTCCATCATAATCTCAAGCCAAAAAATAACGAATCTTTGGTTCCATAGATAGTTAGATAGATAGAAGAAATTGAAAGCAATAAAAGTACCCATGTATCATAGCCTAGCAGATAGGAGAATATTATTGAACCTGCTGGATTGTCAATCCTAATTCTGCAACTAAGTTTTCCTTGAGAACACGATTTGGGTATTGATTTTCCTTGAAGCATTCAAAGAGCCTCTGCAAGAAATAGATAATCTTTTAAGTATCATAACCAACAAACTAGTAAAATCAATAAATGTGGAGGGAAAAAAGTTCCAAAATCCTGAGGATAAAAAAGACAATTGGTCAACACAAATAGAATCATCGTTTGGTAAAGGTTAGTTTGGCTAAAATTGATGAAATTGCTGAAAGCCGAAAACTACTGATTGCGGCTAATATCTACATGAAGCTGCTGGAATTCCCGACTTATGGAAATATAAAAAAGTATTGATAGAGTGATTATTTGTCTTTCCTCAATTAATCTGAGGAGATTTAATCCACTATATATAATGATGTTGTACAAGGATAATGAGTACATGAATTAATTACAAGAAGATTCTAGAGAATACTAGTTTAGTTACAATTATGACTAAGTAACACTGTTAAGTATTTAAAATATATTTCAATGATAAAAATAAAGCAGAAATATATGAAAAGGCTAAAATGATCATCCCTAGTAAACTCTGCAAAAAAGTACTTCAACTCACAGCCCTATCTTTTCATTATTAACAAACTTGGTATGGGCAGTGAAATAAAATTAGTATTTCGTAACAAATCTTGCTATAATGATGATCAGCCAAAAAAGGCTACTAAACGGCCACTTGGAATATTTGTGCATGTTCTGCAATAAGACGGATGATGTGAGCAAGCATCTTTCATCCAGCATTTTAAGTCAGAAACAAACCCTTGAATTACCTTGATTGCATCTTCTCCATATTTTGATTTACCAATCCTCTTACTACTTGACTCTTGCTCAGACGTCACCAAACCTTCAACTTTCGGCCTCTTTCCACGTCTTCTCTCTTTTGCATGCATTTTGTTTTTTGATTTGGCTGAAATTAGTACACATTTCTCTACTTTCAGTCTGATCAGATGACTTTTGAGCAGCTTTAGGACTTCTACTCTTTCTTCTTGGAGAAATACTGTCACATCCTTTATCACCAGAACTGGAAGAGATACTTCTACACATCCCCTTCAAACGACGATGTATAATATATAGCAAAATAAGCAACAACATCACCCGGACTTCATCCAAGGAAACAAATTTTGACACTGCACGGATTAAGGCTACCTTTCAAATGCAGAACATGGTAGGAAAAGGGAAAATATTCAAACGATAAAAGTTATTTATGTTTGAATTTACTTGGAATTTAGAAAATTCAAGGAAAATAGATGGGTTTAACCTTTTGGAATATTTACCTTTAGTTTTATTCCTTAGTGTTTATTTAATTTAATAGAAATATATGACTATAATGAGTTCCAACAAATACCTAAGACCGACTTATTGAGTTTGACTTTGACCCAATCTAATGTTTTTTCATGAAATAATCTTCCTAGATTCTCCTCTATTTTGTTTCCTTGAGCTAAAAACATTAAAAAAATAGGAACAAGAAAATAGAGGAAAGAACAATGCGTGCAAAAATGTTGAATTCATAGGTGCAAAAATGATACTACATCCCTTCTCCATCAAGTGCAACATGTTGAATTTTACCTTATTCACACGATCTGCTTTAAGCCTTTAACTACATTTTCTTTATTAATGTATTCAAAGCTTATTTTTTTAAAACATGGTTAATTTTGCCTTATCATAACTTTTAAAAAATTTGATTTTTTAAATTTTTTATGATGGACAACTAAATATATCAATGGTTAAAGTTGTGCATCATCAAACTTGAAAAATGGAATGTTGCACTTATTTAAGAATTGAGGTAGTAGTAAAGAGAATCTCACATCATGCAACTTTTTGTCATCCTTAGGGTGTCTATCTCCATATGCAAGTTCATCGTTTGACTGTAGGTGTGGTGCTTCATCCTTAGGTGAACATTCCCCTGCTCCACCACCGATTTCAATGTTTTCAAGTTGGTGTTGGCCAGGGGACCCACCAACATCCTCAGAATCAGAGGTAAGATCTGAACTCGATCTTTCCTGCATCTCCTGATCATTATCATGGCCCGGAGCACTTGGATCATAATCCTCATCTTCGGAATCATCTGAAGGAAGCCCCGTCACTTCCAGATTATCAAGTGCTGGTGGTGCTTCAAAATCATCAGATGCAGAAAAATAGTCACTTTCATCAGAAGAGGTAGATTTGTCCTCCTGTGAAGAATTTTGATCTACTTCCGGATTAGTAGCAGGGTTGTAGTCATCATCCTCAGAATCATCTAATGGTAATCCAGAAATATCATCCAACTTATTCCCTGTAGTGGCACTGGCTGCCTCCCCAGGAAACACCTTCTGAATACACAAACACACCAAAATAGCATGGTGAGCACTTGGCAATGGAAAAATGGCAACATAGAGAAGATGAAGGGTTGACCTCCCAGCTGTCTCTAAGAGAAAGGTTTGTTCCTTCGAGATTATTGAGTAAGACAAAGCAATCCAATTTGCAGACACATCCAGGGCATAGCCAGGGTTCATCACCTGGTGGAACTGAAAGTACAATAGAGAATGAAGTTGTAATATAGAAAGACATAAGGTGATAAGGGGACATCTGGTTCGCGAATGTACGATTACATTAGCTAATAGGAATATAGGATTAATAGTAACGTGAGATTACAGGGATGTAAGACTACCTCAAGGAGGTGTTTGGTTCCTGCAACGTACGATTACCTTGGGTAATTACCTCCTCCTAGAAAGTAATGTCAAACTATTGGATGTAACTTTTTATTCACGAAATGTGCGCTACTCTTCACTATGAACTTTATACGGGACGTAGAAAGTATAACTTATGTTGTTAAGTCATTAGGGACAAAGGTTGAATAGTCTTATAAAAATATCACCAAGGTAACCTTACATTACCTAACAAACCCAAAGTAATCACATTACGCCAACATTACCTCATTTTATTAAGAGGCAGTAATCTCAGATTTACCTTGATAATCCTGAAAAACCTAAACAATACAAGGTAATCTCACACTACCAATGTAATGTGAGATTAGCAGAACAAAACATCCACAGGTATTTAATTTCCAGTATTTTTAATAGATTTGACTTTACTGTCTTCTTTTAACAAAGGTGGCTCCAAACACATCTGGTGAAACCCACGTACACAAGTGCCATCACACAAGATAATATCGTTATCAGCTTGCAAATCCTTAGAACCACACTTCGCGCAGAATATCTGATACAAGCAATTTTAGAATATTTCAATACTATGAAGACCAGTGCATTATCATTAGTGTAAGTACGATCCGACTACAACACAGCACAGAGCATCACGTACATCTTCACTGTCAATCTGTCCCTCAGGGTCAAATGAAGACTCAGGAAGCCTTCCCGGAGCAAGCAACATATCAATGTGTTGAAATAAGTCTCTGATTTTCAACTTGTATTTAAAAATTCCCGATTTTGCACGCTGTAGCTCCTTCTCAGGCTTGATTTTTTCTAAGCTGCAGATGCATAACAGATCATTATCCATTATGCTGATGAATGAATTGCAAAAAGAGCATTGTTTCAAGAACTTTTTTGTTCCAAAAGAAGAGTATGGATTTAAAAGTGTTGGTCCCGGTTGTACTGGATACAGTCTAGAGGGGGTGAATAGACTGTATTGATTTTTAACTTTTATAAGCTAAGTACCAGATTTATCAGATTAGCCTATTCTGTTGGCAGAAAAGACTGGCAACGGATGGGGTTCTGGTAGGGGTTCTGTTAGTTTAGCCTCAGAGAAGCAAAGGACGTAGGCCTTCTGTTAACTCACAAGACAAGTTCTGCTGAACACAGAGACCATGTCTTTGGAGTTAAATAGTTCAAATAAAAACAATAAATGAATGCAGTAAGTAAATGACACCAGGGCTTTTTATAGTGGTTCAAGGAACAACTTGTTCCTCTATTCCACTGTTCCACTAAGCTTGTAAAAACGACCGTTTACAACGTCTTAGTCCTATCACTTAAGAAGCTCTCCACGTCTTCTTCAAGTGTAGATGTCTCCTGGGATGCACTTCCTGGCTTCCTTTAAGACTGGTCCTTTCACTGAGCTTTTCCGGAAGTATCACCACTTCACTGCTCCAGGTGCTTGGACGTCCTTCTTGTGAAAGAAGAGTTTCTGTTAAAAACAGGGGTTCCTCCAACTTGCTTCGTTACAAAGGATTTGTAGTTGAAGAGCTTGAAGAGTTTGAAGAACGACTAAAACTTTGCTTGAGTTGGAAGTAAGAATCTTTCCAACGTCTGCCTTCTCTTGTAGAAGATGATAAATATTTAATCTCAAGGAGGCTATGCGTTTTTAGTGTTTGAATGTTTTGTATGCGCACTGTTGTAGCAAAGTTATCCGGTTGTTCTTCGTAGTGTATCTTTTATACTGAGGTTGTCTTCCTGTTGGAGGAGAAGGAGGACAACTGCATTAAATGTGCGAGTAGTTGACTTGACCAGTAGGACCCAGCAAAGTTGGCGGGTTACTATTTTGGGATAAAGCAATCCTGATATTGCGGCCAATCATCTGCATTTACTCTACAGAGTACGGGAGGCATTAAATGTGCATTTAATGCGCGTACTGTAGCTTTTCCGTTCAAGACTCCTAGCCGTTGAAGGAATCTTCAGTTGGTTTACCGGCTTGGTGAAATTCTCTAAGTGTCCGGCCTTACGGTGTCTTTAGCAGAGAGTCGATCAGAGAAGGTCTTGAGCACTTCTGTTGGAGAAAGTTATCAGAGACTCTTGAGGGTTTCTGTTGAAGATATGTCCAACAGAGAACCAGGAGGGTTTCTGCCCGTGTAAAGGCTAACAGAGATCCAGAGGTCTTCTGTTCTGAAGCAGAGAGCCAAAGGTCTTTTGTTAATACAAATCCTATCAAAGGGTCTTCTGTCAGGAGGTCTTCTGTGGAGTGAGGTGCACTCAAAATAATTAATCAATACAACACTAATACATAGTATAGTGAAGTAAGGTTCGTATCCACAGGGAAAGGAATACTTTTCTTTTATATAAGTAGTATCAAGGGGGGTTTTGTAACACCGAACCCGGGCATATTTACTTTTAGTAAATTATGTAATAAACCTTGAAAGATGATTTATGAATTTGCGTAATTGTAAATTTTTATTATTTCTTTTACGCGAATAGTAAATTGCATGTGGGGCCCACAGTGGGAACGGGGACCGCCCGATAATTCCCGAACCACATATTATATTCATCTTGGTCTAGATGACATCTATATGGTGGTGGATATTTTATTTGGGCCATAAGAAAGGCATGGAGTTGACCGGTTGGTCAAACGGGGCCCAATTACCGGTATTGGCAAGTTGACGGATAACAGCCCGAAATGAGTTTCGGAGGCTCCTAAATTAATGTTAGGGAATGTACATCGTTTCTAAAGGCCCAAAATTGTTGGGAACGCGTGATATATTTTATCCGGCCCGATAAAATAAAATATGACTAAAGTAGTCCGAAAAATACAACTTTCGGGGCAAATTATACACACCGGGATATAATGGGATGACCTCCCACATAAGTGGGGGCCATCCCACGACCCAATGTGCTGCAAATGTCAAGAAAGCAGCTGGGGGTGTACCTAGTAGGTGGGAAGTCTCCAAGAGACAAAACCCATGACCCCATTCCCTTGAATAAGTGGGAGGGATTGAGATGAAATGTCCCCCCATCATTTGCATCATCCTCACCACTCAAATAAGGTAGGAGAGGAGCTCTGGGAAGGCCTCTATCAAGGTTCAAGCTCATGGAAGCAAGGGGAAAAGATCTAACAAAAGGAGTTGAGTTCAAGGTAAGAACTCTACAAGAAAACTCTTGTAACTAGTTTTATCATGAATGATTTATTAAGAAATCATATGATGAGTTAACATGATGTTCTACACGTTTAAAAGTGTAGAATATTGATATAAAGTGGTGATATTTAACTTAGAAGAGTTGGTGAATCGATAGGAGTCGAAATCGCCGGAAACCGCCACTTTAAGGGAGCTGCTCGTTTCTGCAGAACACGAAAGCCGCCCGGCTTTCGTGAAAGCCGCCCGGCTTTTGCCCAGGCAGTCCAGTTTTGCTTTTCAATCGGCCTAGAACGGGGATTGATCGAGGGGCGTAACAAAGGCAACTATTGTAGCACATCACGAGGTGAGGATGGCTGACTATATTGCTTATAATTAGTGAGTTAATTTCATAAGATTGCCTAAAGTAATTAGATGGGATTTTCATGGATTATTAATGATTAATAATGCCTAAATGAAAATGATATTGATATGAGTAAGTGAAGCATGATATACAAATTTAGAATAATTGTGTATGATTATGTGAAATAAATAGAACGGCATATTAATGGAATTACTATGATGACATTGTGATAAAATATACTTTACGCCATGTATGAAATTCATGAACGGAGTAAAGTGATAATTTTGATATTGAGATCAAACTATACTTGTGTTTGGAAATCAATTGAAATGAAAAGTCAATTGGAAAATAGGAACTTGGCATGTTCTAAGATTACCCAATTAGTATCAAAATACTAGTCGGGGAATTAATATAAATAAATGATGAAACAAATCCTAAGAGGTAGGATTGTGAATAGATATGCCTTAAGTAGTCTCAAGAGATACTTTAAGGTTGAATTGTGTGAACACTAAGGTGATAGGGGTAGGCCTAAAGGCTACCCACGAAAATTGATTCTAGGCATAGGAATTGCTTGAGAATGTAATTATGAAAATAATTAGAGTTGGACTCTAGGATGACATGGAAATGTAGTTGGGCCGAGCCCATGCCATGTAATATGATTAGCATGGAAACGTAGTTGGGCCGAGCCCTTGCCATGTATATGTGACCTCCGTGGAGACGTAGTTGGGCCGAGCCCTTACCACGAAGTTATGGTGGGTATGGAAACGTAGTTGGGCCGAGCCCTTGCCATACAAATTTTGATATGATATATTGAGTTAGAGGATTGTATAGAGATGTAGTTGGGCCGAGTCCATGCTATACAATTGGGGCTCGATGGGACTCCACGGGGTTATCGTGACTTGCGGTCACAGGGGAATGGAAACGATGAATTCTAAATGCATATGGGCTTACGGGCCGACTACTTGACTTTATATAAAGTAAGTACAGTTAAAAAAAAGGGGTAACCGAGGGTTATGGCCTATAATATAATAGTACCCTAAGTTGAGGGTCTTGGAAATTAAAACGTTGATTATACTTAGTATAGTTGCTATTGTACTTGTCAAATATTTCCAAGTACTGACCTCCCCTTCACGGGGGAGGCCACCTCACAGTTTCAGGTAGAACTTGAAGGTTGCTACCATCGCCCGTGGCTTCGGGAGGATCAAGGGGGAGAAGACGTGGTTCGTGCTTCTTCCGTCTGTTTTAAAAACAATTGCGTTAATGCTCATGGATATTATTTTTGAATAATTACTTTGGGGGCTTGTATGCCGAGTTATGCCAAGTGTGGCTTGAACAATTGTATTTATGCTTCCGCTGTTTTCAATGAATGATTTACATTATGTTTGTTTATGGATGTACTATGTGTGAATGATATTCATGACGCCTTGTATAGTATGGATGAGTCGGACTGCGGTTGACTATTCGTACTGTACGGCGGGTTGTTGACGTGTCCGGCTAGGCCCGGGGCGTGACAATTTAATCGGTATCAGAGCCTTAGTCCGTAAACATCATAATGAAGCTTCAAATTTTCTTTTTGAAAATGAATTTGAAAACCATGAGCATAAGGTTTTGTACTTATAGAACTTTTGGTACTTGAGTTGCAATGTCTCTAATTGTTAAGATGGTACC